CAGAAAATAGTACAAACTTTGCTAAAGTGATTGTTTTGAACAAGTATTAACTTAGACATCAGCTAAAATAATGTTTTTTAAGTAAAGTATTTGTGTCAATACCGTGGGCCTTTTACCCCATGCTGGTGGGCCTTTTACCCCATGTGTGGGGTAAAAGGCCCCTCTTGCCACGAACGCAGGAATCGTTAGGCAGAATCGAAATGCACGCGTCTTATCGAATACCCGGTTCTTGTAAATTTGGAACCGGTTCTAAAATGTAACCGGTTTTCGATACCCAACCCTAATGATAAATTAAATTAATGTTTTATGCCTTCATTTGATAACCAGAAAAATTTAAATACACAACACAGAATTTCTGAGGGGAAAAAAAATTCATAAGGCTACTTTAAGAAACAAAATTAATAAATTAAGTTGTTTTATGCATTCAAACAAATAGACATGCTAAAACACAGAATTTGGTAACAATAAATAATATGGTGAGAGAGAAAAAAAAATTTCATAGGGCCCTAAACATGTAATTTTTGTTAAACTTTTAATAAATTGATGTGAAAATGTACAGGTTTAATGATTTTAATTAATTAGACATGCTTTTTAATTAATAAAATTTAATTTAACTATTAAAAAGGAGTCGAGAAAAATTAAAATGGAAAAAACGGAATTTGTATATATATTTTTTTGTATTTTATATATCTTTGTAAAATGACACAGCTTCTTAAATCTTAGCTTCTTAATCAACCAATCAAACATTATATTATGATATTATGATAATTAAACACTATTTAATGATAGAACTCTAGTGATTATAACTAAAACTTGGTAACCATGTGTAAAAGCATATTTGTCATTTTAACTGAACTTATGACTGGTGTTGATGCATAAGATATTGTTGGTCATTCAGGGTTTCTGTTAAAAAAACTGATAATAGTAATATATAATAGTTATTATTATTAAAAGATAATACTGCTACTAATTCTACTACTAATAACAATATACAATACTAAGGATTGATGAGCTGCTGGGTTCATGAATATTAATCACGTTGTCAGCGTTCGCTCAAACTGTTTTGATGAATCAAAACAGAAACCGTAATAGATGAGGGCCAGCCAATGAGATTGCTGTTTGCGCATTAGCCCCGCCCACTACCAGAGAAACCAGCATATCTTCTGCTTGTTTTTAAAAGCTGAATAATTCTAAAGGACCCCCATTATTTTGACAGAAAAATACAACAAAGAATATCGTTTACATGTAGCGCATCGATTCAGTGTGGTATGTAAGACTCTCGCTCTCTCTTTGCATGTTTGAGAAACAGCGCTATCAGCAAAGCGACGGCGAGTCGTGCTCCTTCACACTAGAGTTTACGGTGCATCAAATACAGGTATGCTGCGCATCCATTGAGATGAATTGGAAAAAGTACAGATCGCTTGATGGAGAGCAACTCTCAAGCATTCAGTCAGATTGTTCAGCGAGTAAAAATGTATCTGTTCTAAACTTATAATTAGCCTCTAGCTCACACACGGGTGAGTAAAATCTAAGAATTTATTAGCCAATGGCTAACGATATACATTATTTAGTCACCCAGAGTGAAGATTTAGTCGCATATGCGAGTGATTTACTCGCAATGTAGAGGGTTGCAAGTAAATAAAATAAGGTATCAAAATCTTGAAAAAATAAGCAGTATTCTCTGTTCTCAAATGCTGGGGGCATGTCTGCTGTCTGCGCTGAAACCACACCCACTCAAGGGAAAGCTGCCATCTCTCTCAACTGTCAAATACTGCTACAACCTGAATGAATGCTCCCTCTAGCAGCTTCATTTAAATAAGGAGACTGAGCGGTTTTGTAAATTATCACAACCAGGTAATATGCATTTACGCGACAAAGGCATAGCTAGCTAGCATACTGTAGGCTGTAGTAACTAACGGTAATGACAGTCGACTAACTCGCGATTGAGCGTGCGAACCACTTATGCTAATGCGCTCTAGTTATTAGGTGTGTTTGACTTGAAGCAGCACTGCGCAGACCGATTGGTGTATGACTTTAAAGTACCTCGAGAGCGATTCGAAAGAATAAGGAGCTGTCTTCTCTTTATAGCTCTCACGGTACTTTGATGTCATACAACGATCGGTCTGTGCAGCGCTGCTTTAAGTCGAACACACTACTTATATTGTTAGGGGAGGGGCCATGCTCAGTGGCTCCAGTATGACACCGAGACATGATTTCAGGCCCGCCCAAAAAATCCTGAACACAAAAATGGTGAAAAACTTTTTAACGGTCTAACTCTGCAATTCAGTACTACATAGTTCACAGTCTTTTTAACGTGTTTTAGCAATACATTTTTAAAATTTATAATGTGTTTAGAAACAATTCTGTGAATTGCCTTTACACAGACTTTACATGAAAAGAATGTAATGTCAGACAAGTTGCCTCGTGGGCAGCTCTGACATGTAGTGCAATTGCAGTTCGGAAGACCCGAGTTTGAGTCCCAGCCTTGTGGTCCTTTTCTGTCACATAAGCTGTCCGTGAATTAGGGATATGCCGGTATCAAATTTTCATGTTGCGATTAATTGCTAATGCTTTTATCACGGTATACGGTATTATCACGATATTGAAATTTAGTTTTAAAAAAAGTGCTGTCATAATACAGTATAACAGGTTTAATAACTTATTTCTTATAACAAAAATAACTGAACATTTAGCAATAAAGCAATACAGAAAAATGTACAAAGTTAAAAGTTTTACACAGATTAAAGTGCAAAAGAACTATAAAGACCAATAGGTATCACTTTACAATAAGACCTCATTAGTTAACCTTAGTTAATGCATTAACATTCACAATGAGCAAAAGCTAATGTTAACTAATGAAGCCATTACCGTGATATACCGCATTACCGAATACCGGCACATGTCTACCGTGAATGCAGACAAATATCGGTCAACGCAACCCAAAACCCACAAAATAAAACATACCTGAACAAATGTACAGATTGTTCTGTCAGGACCACTATCGTCAAAGATGATTGACAATTAGCATACAGTTTGGATTATATCTAGGGCATGTTGTAGTCCAAATTATAATATAAAAAAAGTTTGAAAATAAATAGCTTATTAAGTCTAAATATTAAGTATTTGGCGCTGTGATGAACATCATAGCAATCTGAGAGTCAGCTAATGCGAGCTTGACTAACGTGACCTGCCAGAACGCGACCTTGACTAACGTGACCTACGCTTGATATTTGTATAGCGCATTTCTCACACACTTGTTGTTTATAATAAATGACACTATAAAATATGGTAGGCTTATGATGCTGTTAACAAATGCAGCTTGCATCTGTTAAACATCCTAGACAATGTAGTAATGGCCAAATGTTGGCTAAATAGTTTGTCTTATATCTGTTGGTCTAATTGTTTGTCTGTATTTGTTCAGAGTTACCTGTTCCAGTTGCTCCAGGGACTGGCCTTCTGTCACTCTCATCGTGTTCTTCACAGGGACCTTAAACCCCAGAATCTCCTAATCAACGCTCAGGGTGAGATCAAACTGGCTGACTTTGGTCTGGCCAGAGCGTTTGGTGTACCTGTGCGGACTTACACACATGAGGTGAGAGGCAGAAACATGGTTCTAGATTTCTAAAGGATATGTTCAGTGTATTTCTACCTTAAATAAGATGAAATCATCTAAAGTGTAACACTGTGTCCTAACCAGGCACGATAAGATTCAGCGACAAGCAATTTATCTGTCCACAGCAGATGCAACACGGCTACAAGACGCAAAAAAAAAAAATTCACAACCAATCAGAAGAGCGACTGGGCGGGCTCTTTTTGCAAGAACACTGCACTTGCAACTAAATGGTTAAGGACATAATCTAATTCACAAATATTAGATTATTTTAAAATGATTGAAAATACATACTGAGTGACTGATACAATCTTTGGAATACACTGTTGGTTCACATTGAGTTTACAGTTTTAATATTTCCTTTCATTCTTTTTTTCAAGATCTGAGATAAATTATCCATTGCCGCTTTTCATAATGCTATAAAGGTCATGCAAAATGATATTCATGGTTTTCATCATCAGAAGTGTCCATGGTGCTCCACGTACAACAGCGCAGGCGCAAGATGAATGTTGAGACAGAGCGAGTCAAATAGGTGATACTGTGCATGTGTCGAGCTCCTCAGTCCGCGTTCATCCACGGTTGCGTATACTTTAAAAGCTGTGCAGACGTGGCTGTGCGCGAGACAGAACACGGAAAGGGAAGTATTCCCGTGCCTACGGAGCAATGCGGATGTCAGATGATTAAAACATTCAATTTAATTATTATTAGGCTATTTTAATTTGATTGTAATATTATTCAAATTATTTAGGATTTTGTTGCTGTTTTTGTATGCTTCGTTTAACTTGTGTAAAACATCTAGCCTATAATTCGTTTTTTGCACAATAAAATCTTTAATTGTGTTCATTGAAGGGGGGGGGGTCACGTTGCCGGCTCAACATTGTGATGTCTGTCAGCCATTAGCGATTGCACTTGCAACTAAATGGTCTATTGGCCCAACCCTAGTTGTCACTGCATAATATTCCACTTCTGACAGCACTGTTTCAACATGTGCCTTACATTTCTCGTACAGCTCTGCTATGGCAAGTTGAGAAATTGTTGTGTGATGGCATTACATACTGCTTTTCAAGCGAGTGGATCATGTTTTTTTTGTTGCTTTGAACTGCATTTAGATCATACAAAGATTTGTGGTGACTGACAGAAAACAAAAATAATGACTTTATTCCACATTTTCGTCTCTACTTGTGGACGCGCGTTCACGACAGTATCATGACGTGAGCGTGTGGCTGAACAAAACCTGCCTTGAATTGTCCCTCGTTCAGAAAGCAGTCTGGACTAAAATGATTTGCGCAGACAAACAAATTTAGGTGTATAATATGGCGCATTAACATCAAAAACAAAACTAATCCACTGCATCCTCAGTAGCTATGTCGGGAGAAAATGAAGACTTATGGGGCTTACTCTTTTACATCCAACTACAAAACATCTGCTTTGCTTACGAGTCATTGTTGTCGCTACAGCTGCTCGAGCGCAGAGAAAATGGCGGACAGCGTACATCTGGCTGAAGGCGGAAATATGCTAATACGTGACCGTTCGTCAGTGGGTGTGGGCGGGGCCTGAGCACGGCTTGATAATTAAGACTGTTTACATTTTTAGGGGATTAAAAGAAAGGAGTAAATGGATTTTTATCATTGAAGGGTGGTTGTATCCACACACTGGATACAAGAATACATTGTATGTGGCCAAATATTAAAATTTTATGGATTTAAACATCGTTTAATCACGCTGTAAAGTGAAACGTCACCAGGCCATTGGCGCCCTCCCCAGGTATTTGTTTTAATACATAATGTACTTAAGTTGGTTATGTTCATATTATGTATAGGCATATTACATTATGTATTTTAACAGTGTTGTTCAATACAATCATGTAATTTCTTGTTTTTTATATTTTATTTGAGCCAATTATTAATGCCTCATCGTTAGTTTATATATAAATAGTCATACTAAAGCCTGGTTTTCACTTAGGTCTGTTTGTTACTAAAAAATATCAGATTACTCAGTTGTCAAAATAATCAGTAGATTACTTGATTACCAAAATAATCATTAGTTACAGCCCTAGATTAGTTAAAATATTTCTTAATAAAACTGCATTGTTTTACTTTTTGTAATTAAAAGAAATATTTTGTCATTGAAAATTTCTTAAAAATAGTTTTAAAATATTGTCTTGTTCTAGTAAGTGTATTGTCACACCCCTAGTGTCGATAAGCGGCGATGTAGCTCATAATTTTCCAAGTGTATGATACAGCTTTCATTCTTCAGGTCAACCAATACATTCATGAAAAAAAATCAGTTTGAATAAAGAAAGCAATAACTTTGCCATAGTATCCTTTCAAATGTTAAAGTTGCCACAGTCATTGCATGCTTTGCATGTGCTGCCCCGCCCCCGGATTTTTTTTTTTTGCTTTAACCCCTGTGTATGTATATTCAAGAAATATATGTAATATATAATTATATTTATATATAATATAAATCATATATAAATATTAATGTATATTTACATATAAATATACAAAGTACCCACACATTTTATGCAAACACAAACGTTTATTTTGGATTCGATTAATCGCGAATCCTAATATATATATTTCCCCTGGGAGAAGTGCCACAACACATAGAGCAGGGAGCATCAATAGAGCATCAATCCCTGGAGGGTCAGAGCCCAACCCTAATTAAACACACCTGATCCAACTAATCAAGTCCTTCAGGTTATTTGAAAACTACATGGTATGCGTGTTGGAGCAGGGTTGGAACAAAACTCTGCAGGGCTCCGGTCCTCCAAGAATTGAGTTTGACCCCCCTGACATCGAGTGTAAGTCTGTGGGAAATACTGTGATATATTTACCTTACTTGTTTCTGATATATGTTTACCGGAATACTGCCCCAGACTGTGATTTCATCTGAGATGGGATGAAACTCCCCACACGTTTTCACTCCAGAACACATTTCCAGAGTCCAGTGGCGGGGGCTTTACACCACTCCATCCAACGCTTGGTACTTGTGTAATAAACTTTCCTAAACCTCAGTTTAAAGAAAGACGCAATAAAAATGTGGGATACAATCAATTGAGCTTTTGATACCAATATATTAAAGTGTCATAGTGGGTACTAACAAGCAACCTTCACACAAACAACCGTTTTCACCCCCTAACCATAATATGTACAAATCAGTTCCTCCAAAACAGTCCATGAATTGCATTCTACAAAAACCTGTGTTTCCAGCGTTGTTTTGCTGTTGCCAATAATTTGTCTTTTGACACGTTCAGTTGGATTTGTCTGGGGATGGTAGGCAGTGGTAAGTTTCTGTACCACTCCCCACTGCTTACAGGTCTCATTCAGCAGTTGGGTAGTGAACTGTGGTCCTCTGTCCGATATGAGATACACTGGCTGGTGTTCCCCACCTGGTGAAGATGTCTTTGATTAAGATATTAGCTATTAGAGGGGTCTTTGCGGATCTCATCGCAAACAGTTCTACCCACTTGTTACAATAGTCCACTACCACCAGTAGGTACTCATTCATGCGAGTGCTTTTAGGGAATGGCCCCATCAAGTCAACCCCCAGCATGTACCCTGGTTCGACCACTGGTGTGGACTGGAGGCGCCTGCAAGTTTAGAGATTCGGGGTTTATATTGTTGGCATATTTGGCATTCCTTACACATCCTCCAGACATCTTTTTTAATCTCAGGCCAATGTTACCTCTAGTAACCTCCGTAATGTCTTCATACACCAGAGATGCCCACTTAATGGACTGGCATGTGCATACTGCAGACACTGTTCACAGAGTTTAGTTGGCATGACAACTTGTAAACTCTGACCCCCATTCTTGTCAGTGGTACTTCTGAAGAGATAACCATTCTGGTTAACATAATACACACAGAGCTTGTGTTACCATCCTTTACTAGTAAACTAGTACAATCAGTAGTCAATTCTCAGCCCCCCACACACAGGACTTCAAACCAACCACACCCACTACTAAAACTCCCATCTTCTCCTTCTGTCCCCTCACTGAGGCAGAAGTATCAAAACTTCTCCTCTCCAGCCATCCTACAACCCCTTGTCTGGTAAAAATAAATTTGCATGGCACCTCAGTGATAAAGTTCATGCATTCAGATGGTGATTTATTCACAGTGGAGGAGCGAGTTTTGTGGGAACGCGCGCTGCTCATGTGGTCGGTTGCTTGATTGTCTGCTGTGAATAAAAATGGCACATGCTTGGAATAATGAGAATAAATTCATATTTAATGTAACAATAATATCCTATGTATCATTTGATTTAAAAAAAAAATCTGTTTACAAATAGAAACAGACACTCTATATAGATGAATGGTTTTGTCTTGCATTTTATCTCAAATTATGTCATTTTAAAAATTGGGAATTTAACGGAAATAAGTTAATGCAGCCTTCTGTTTACATGAGGTAAGCATGAAGCTGCTTGGTTTATATTTTAATTAGGGATGCACCGGTATCGGGCCCGATACTGAGCTCCTGTACTCGTACTCATTAAAATGCCCCGATACCAAACGCCGATACCACACAGCATGTGTTAAGTGTCATATTCAGACAATGAAACACCAACAACAGACAGCAGAATGGAGTTATTAGAGATTAAGGCTGTCTACGAAGTATATGTATGCAATGAATACAATATGTATGCAGCTGACTGTATAGCTGATGTGCGCGAGCTGATAAGCAAAGCACGCTGTTTAGGTGTTATACCACAAACAGCCACCAGGTGCCATCCAAACCCCATTTAATTTTTTTATGCATTTTTCTGACACAAATGTATAAATTTCTCTCTCAGTAAAATATATCCACCAAATATGGAATCTTGAGACTCGGACCTTTCAGACGATGTGTATTTTGTCAAGATTCGAAAAAGTTTTGATTCCAAAAGACTGTAATACATTTTGTAATATGACACCCCCGCACTAAGGTGGAGGAGCCCGCAAAAAGATTTTAAGGTCCATTTCTATGGTAAAGCAATGTCCGATTTCAAAACGGTTTTCACAGGATGAATTGAGATTTTAAGCTTTCAAATGATATATAATATATGATTACTAAAACATGTGATAGGAAAAAAAGGAAACAAATAGAATTTTTGTGACTAAGGTCAGAGCTCCTGTTATGGTGTATATGTTTTGAGGTGCACTCTTGTCATAAATTAATCTATTACTGCTCCTACATAATTTTTAACAACAAACAGTGGTAAAATATCTATTTAGGAGTCTTAGACCTTTCCAACGATACATAGTTTGTAGGGCTGTCGCGATTCGTCGATTTTATTCGACTATTCAATTTTTTAAAATCCTCGACTTCATTTTGCTCGCGGCAAAATACCGGAAGTGGCGCAATTTCACGGACTCCATAAAACACGTTATTAGACTGTTTCCCAAGGCATAATAACGTGTATAATAATTAAGCATAATAGTGAATTCACAAACGCTACGATTTAATTAAATAATTATATGCGATGCAGTTCTAATACAGTATATGTGCTTTAATTATTTACATGCGTGTAGGTTAAGTATGTGCGTCACACAGCGGCTCCGTTCACAGTATTTCCACAGGAACTGTTATCATTTACATGTGTGGAGCGTCTCAAACTCCCATCTCTGCATGTTGTTGTGAGTTTGGGTTTATTATAACATTCATCTGGGAACGCAACGTGCGGCATTTCATCAGATTTGTAAGGTAAATCATTTATAAATCTACGCAAACTCAGGAGAATACATCGCGGTT